TGTGGTCAGGTTTGGGATGGTGTAGGTAAGTATAAACAGGTGTGGTAAGGTTAGGGATGGTGTAAGTAAGTATAGACAGGTGTGGGTAGGTGTGGTCAGGTTTGGGATGGTGTATAGGTATGTATAAACAGGTGTGGGTAGGTGTGGTCAGGTTTGGAATGGTGTATAGGTAAGTATAGACAGGTGTGGATAGGTGTGGTCAGGTTTGGGATGGTGTATAGGTAAGTATAGACAGGTGTGGGTAGGTGTGGTCAGGTTTGGGATGGTGTAGGTAAGTATAGACAGGTGTGGGTAGGTGTGGTCAGGTTTGGGATGGTGTATAGGTAAGTATAGACAGGTGTGGTCAGGTTTGGGATGGTGTAGGTAAGTATAGACAGGTGTGGGTAGGTGTGGTCAGGTTTGGGATGGTGTAGGTAAGTGTAGACAGGTGTGGGTAGGCATGACAAGAGGAGTCAACACTGCTGGCGCGTGACGCTCCCTACCTGCCCGACACCTGCCTGCCCGTGGTCACTTCCTGGGCCCTGTGTGCAGGAACCGTCTACCAGGTGCTCCCTCACCTTACTGGCGCCTTCATTATAGTGGTGCTCTGAGGCCAGTTACAGTAGATGAAAAGGATTAGCGAATCAGTTGTATCGGGTGATTATAGGTGTCATCCAAGTACCCACGTACCCTCATCCACGTACCCTCACCCACGATACTCTCACCCACGTTACCTTCACCCACGTGCCCTCATCCACGTACCCTCACCCAGCGATACTCTCACCCACGATACCTTCACCCCGATACCCTCACCCGATACCTTCACCCACGTACCTCACCCACGATACTCTCACCCGATACCTTCACCCGATACCCTCACCCACGATACCTTCACCCACGTACCCTCACCCACGTACCCTCACCCGATACCTTCACCCACGTACCTTCACCCACGATACCCTCACCCATACCCTCACCACGATACCTTCACCCACGTACCTCATCCGTACCCTCACCGTCCCTCACGTACCCATCCACTTCCTCACCACGTACCCTCATCCACGTCCCTCACCCACGATACCCTCACCACGTACCCTCATCCATGCCCTCACCCGTACCCTCATCCGTACCCTCACCCACGATAACCTCACCCACGTACCGTCACCCGTACCCTCATCCACGTACCCTCACCCGATAACCTCACCCGATACCTCACACGTACCTCACCCACGATACCTTCACCCACGTACCCTCATCCACGCACCCCTCACCCACGATACCTTCACCCGATACCCTCACCCACTATTCACCCACGTACCCTCATCCATGCCCTCACCCACGATACCCTCACCCGTACCCTCATCCGTACCCTCACCCACGTACCCTCATCCACGTCCCTCACCCACGATAACCTCACCCACGATACCTTCACCCACGTACCTCACCCACGATACCCTCACCCACGATACCCTCACCCACGATACCCTCACCCACGTACCCTCACCCACGATACCTTCACCCACGTACCTTCACACAACACAGCTAAATCACGTCATCAGGTGTATTAACAGTTAGAGTCTGCGTTAATAATTAATAGATTAAGCTGCATGATTGAACACGTCTGCTGATGAGGATGATGATCTATGCAACAAAGGCGATGCAAAAAATATATATATATATATATATATATATATATATATATATATATATATATATATATATATATATATATAAAAAAATAAATGGATTTGTTCTAGGTAGATTAACATCTGATTAACTTTGTATAAATTATGTATAAAATTCAGAGGAAAATTAGTGATCTTTGATTTTTTTTCATCCTGATGCAGCCTCGAGTACTGATGATATCTTGAAGTGTTGAGAAAAAAATGAGAAGCTTTATGTGTTTCGTACAACTTTAATTTACAAACATTGTCTTTGTGTATGAAGTGTAATGGTGTGGGTATATATATAATAGGTGTGCCAAATACATGTTACTTAGCTATAATAGCGCTCTCTCTCTCTCTCTCTCTCTCTCTCTCTCTCTCTCTCTCTCTCTCTCTCTCTCTAAATCTTTCCTCACTGAAGTTGAACAAGGACATATTTTCCGACTTCAGGATTTATAGGATAGGAGAATTATTTACACTGAGAGGTTTATTTTCAGTGATGGGCACCGATTTTTTTTTCTTCTTCTTCTTCTTCATTGTAGTAGTAGTGGTAGCAGTCAACTGATGGATCAACGCAGAGGGAACCTGTCGCCATGGCAATGTACGCACCAAGCCTATCCGTGCTCCAACACACAATAAAATATGAAACAACCGAGGTCAAGCAAGTGGCTTACGCTGATGACCTAACAGGAGCAGGAAAAGTGGAGGACATCAAAAAGTGGTGGGACCTGGTAACATCACGAGGTCCACAAATAGGGTACCACCCAAATGCGAGCAAGTCCTTCCTCATTGTGAAGCCAGAACACTATGAACGGGCAATGGAGGTGTTCGACGGAAGTGAGGCAAAAATAACAAAGGACGGCCAAAGACATCTAGGTGCGGTAATTGGCACGGAGGACTTCAAGACCGACTACGTAACGGGAAAGGTGAATGAGTGAGTGAAGGAAATCCAAACTCTGTCTGATATTGCTAAAACAGAGCCACATGCGGCTTTTGGGGCATTCACCCATAGAGTCAAGCATCGCTGGAATTACCTGATGCGCACTATAACTGAGGTCGGACCCCTCCTCCGCCCTCTGGAAGAAACCATCAAGGTCGCTTTTATCCCAACACAAGTGAAAAACCCTTATTTAACCTCAGCAGAAAGATCACTCATTGCACTACCACCGAAACTTGGAGGAATGGTATTGACTAATCCAGAGGAGCTTGCCGCCACAGAATTAGAACTCTGTCAAGCTCACGGCAGCCCTCACTGAACACATAATAGCTCAGAATGCAATAAGTCAGGTGGATACCAACGAATTAAACAAGATTCGACGGTCCATTACGACAGAACGGCAGCACACCTAAAGTGATAAACTGCAACAACTGTTGCAGCAAGTGCCAGTGAACTTGAGAAAAAAATAGCTATAGCGCAGGAGGTGGGCTCCTCGAACTGGCTAACAACGTTACCGATAAGGACAAAAGGCTTCATCCTTAATAAACAATAATTCACAGATGCCATTGTTCTAAGGTACGGTAGGCCAGTAGAAGATTTGCCCTCCCAATGCGTGTGTGGCTCATCTTATGACATCTTATGACCACGCCATAGTGTGCAAGAAAGGGGGCTTCGTATGCATGAGGCATGACGAAGTATGGGATCTCACAGCAAATATGTTGAAGGAAATCTGTCATGATGTCAGGGTAGAACCGACCCTCCTTTCATTGGATGGTGAGAACCTCCGTCACAGGACTTCAAACACCCGTGTGGACGTCAGTGCTCGAGAATTCTGGACGCTGGGACAGCGAGCCTACTTTGACATAGGGATTTTCGATCCCATGGCCGCATGTCACCGTAACCTAGCTCTTGATGCTGCACACAGGAGGAACGAGAATGACAAGATTAGGTCATATGGGGAGAGAATTCTGAATGTTGATCAGGGCAGCTTCATTCCTCTGGTGTTCACAACCTCTGGTGGGATGGGACCAAGTGCAAGTTGCTTCTGTGCCAGACTCGTGGTGTTATCTGAACGGAAGCAGCAGCCCAGAAGTTACGTCATAGCCTGGTTGAGATGTCGACTCTCCTTCTCTCTGTTTAGGTCTGACTTGCTCTGCCTCAGGGGAACGAGATCTTCGGACCCAAAGCCGACAACAGTTGCGGATATTGACTATGAGGCAACAGTCACTGAATGCCGCATAGATCTGCGGCTCAACTAACTCAACACAGCTAACTACTTTTGTATTAGGTTATTTAATCTTAAGGTAATAAAATGACAGCGAATATGTGACTATTGGGATAGGCTGGTGGCCACGTTAAAATGTAGTAGTAGTAGTAGTAGTAGTAGTAGTAGATCACAAAACATGAATCACATAGAGATGGTGGGGTGACTCAGGGAAGCAGCATCAGCAGTATTAATATGTATAAATTTATTTCCTATCAACTTACATCATGTGTTGTATGAGTGAGTGGGGCGTGGAGGCGAATGTGTTGACGGGACTTAACCATTACCGGTTTGTTAGAAATTCTGGATTCAGCTTTAAATGAATGAAGGGTCGTTAGAGAAATACATAAGGAATGGTTTTTCAGAATTTGAGTCGTGAGGTGTGTCATCGTCTTGGGAGATATGTTTCTTTCACTCAGTTAGTTAGTCAAGTCATTCAGGATTAGTATTCATAGAGTTGTCTAACGCAGCTGAAACCACGAAGAGGAACTTGAGGGGGAAAAAAAATCTCCAAACTGTAGTGACGTTCTGTAACCCCTTCAGGAGATGTATACGTGACTTATGACACTCGACACTATACACACACACACACACACACACACACACACACACACACACACACACACACACACAACCTATATAAGACTAAGAGTATTAACTTATGCCAATAGCCGTCACATGAAAGGAAAAAATATTGTCGACTGAACAGCCCCGTCAGGAGAGCTTCGTCATACTCCAGGCAGCGCAGTCGTCCGTCAGCCTAGTGTGTTGTGCCGTAGCTGCTGGATGAACTATCGTACACCAGAGGAAAAAATGGACTGATGTAGGACATATTTAACCACCCCCAACAATTTTCCCTAAAGCTTCCTCCACGAGCAGCTGCCGTGAAGACAGTAGACCGGACGGAAACTGTCCAGAGGCAAAAATAATGGGAGAGGTTAATGCATTATTATTATTAGGTGCAGGAAAATATGTCATTCACCAGCAACTTATATCTATTTTAACTAAGTATTTATAACTTATTATTTTCAGAATAATTGTGAGGAGTGATGATTGTCTCTTGTTATCAGTAGCAGGAAACATTATCTGTGATACATGTCTCTTATGATAAGCTGTGTTACTCTTGTGTCGTGATGGTAATTGTGGTGTTGTGTTGCAGGAGGCATGATCGTGACGCCCACCTACAGCCGGGAGATGGGTGAGGGCGGGCGTCTGGTGCCGCCCGCCCGCGTCCCCACTCTGGGCCTGCCCGACCCCAACCCTTCGCCCACCTACAAGTCGGACGTGGGCGGCGGCGTGTTCAAGGCGGGCGGCATGGGCGGCGCCTACGATCTAAACAAGAACAGTTTGAACGATAAGGAGGGTGTGTCGGGCGGGTCCCTGGGCGGGCTGCCTCTGAGTCACCACCTGCAGCCCTTCACGGCCCCCTGGCTGGCAGAGGTGGCTCACATCACGCCCGCGCGGCCCACCGACCACCTGCCATACCCACAGCCCCCCACCCCCACCTTACCCGACTACTACCCTCACTACCCGGGACTACCCCACCGACCCACTGGCTACTACCCCCACCACTTCCTGCCCCCCGGAGCAGCCAGCCACTTCCTGCGAGAGTACCCCCGCCACGCCCACCGCCCCTACCCACCCCTTGACCCCAGACCCCCGCTAGAGCGGCCCACGCCTGTTTCAGGGGCGCCGACCCTGGTGAGGCCTCTGGGGCCGCCGCCGCTGCGGGGGATGCACCCCGACACACACCGCGACCACCTGCGGGAGGTGGCGCCCCAGAACAAAATGCGACCACGTCCCCCCGACCTGACCCTCCCCACCAGCCCTAGTGGCACCTCAGGGGAGCCCTCGCCTCGAGGACCCCACGGGGAGCCTAGTCCTAAGCGACGCCCGGGATCCAGCGCCTTCCCTATGCCGGCCCCCAGGTCTCCCCGCGCCGCCCCCAGAGGTCACCCAGCCCCTGCTGTCCCTGGGCCCACTACACCTGTGTCCGCGCCACCCGCAACGGGCCCCGTTGTGTCGGGGCCCCCAGCATCATGTCCCCCAGTGTCGGGACCTACCAGCAGCGGGCCCCCACCTGTGTGTTCCCCCTCTTCACGACCTTCTGTTTCCGGTCCCATCCTGGCCGCCCCCGTCCCCATCCCCACCTCGGCCGCCCCCCCGCCCGAGGACCCACGCCCACCCTCTCCCTACCACGCCCACTTCGCCCGCGGTGCCCTGGTGACGGTGGGCGCGGGCGTAAGACGCGTCGAGGAGCTAGAGACCCGAGACTTTCTAGAGGCGGCCAAGGCGGCGGAGGACCTGATGCTTGACCCCTCCACCGTGGCTGCCATCACCACCCGCCCCGGCGCTTCCACCATCACCTTCACCTTCCCCTCCAGGAACACCCAGGTGAGTCTCCACAACCCTAACACTACCTGAGTGCCATAAACTGTCATTTGGATCCCCTAATTGGTTATATACACTCACCTTGTAGCTTTTAGCTGCCTGTCTGTGTCACCTGGACACTCACCTGACCAGGGACACCCAGCTGTACCTTTCTCATTGAGTATGGAATTTTGTAAAATAATACATATGATATTACATACACCAGAGACCTCAGTATTTGTTGTGCAGTACACATGGTTACATAAGAGATAGCAGGTGTGGTAGGAAGTGTGGTAGTGGGTGTGGTAGCAGGTGTACTAGTAGATGTGGCATCACGTGTGGTAGCATGTGTGGAAGCAGGTGTGGTAGCATATATTCCAGGGAGTGTGGTAGCAGGTGTAACAGTATGTGTGGTAACAGGTGTGGTAGTAGGTGTGGTAGCAGGTGTGGCAGCAAGTGTAGTAGGAAGTGTGGTAACAAATGTGGTAGTGGGTGTGGTAGCAGGTGTGGTAGTGGGTGTGGTAGTAGGTGTGGTAGCAGGTGTGGTAGGAGGTTTAGTCGCAGGTGTGGTAGTGGGTTTGGTAGTAGGTGTGGTAGCAGGTGTGGTAGGAGGTGTAGTAGCAAGTGTGGTAACAGGTGTGGTAGTAGGTGTGGTAGCAGATGTGGCAGCTAGTGTGGTAGTAGTTGTAGTAGCAGCAGGTGTGGTAGCAGGTGTGGCAGTAGGTGTAGTAGCAGGTGTGGTAGCAGGTGTGGCAGTAGGTGTAGTAGTAGGTGTGGTTGCAGTGTGGTGGCAGGTGTGTGTGGGTGTGTGGTGGCAGGTGTGGTAGCAGGGCGTTACATGTACACCATTGCGTGTTACTCTCAGCTGCCAGAATAAAGCACCAGGTTAACAATCTATTATTTCTACACAGGTGAAAATACCGGGGTGTTGCTGTGTGTGTGTGTGTGTGTGTGTGTGTGTGTGTGTGTGTGTGTGTGTGTGTGTGTGTGTGTGTGTGTGTGTGTGTGTCTTTATATAGGTGCAAATTACAAAGGAAGAGTATCAGTTTTAAATTAATTAACCTAACCTAACCTAACCAAAAAACCAATCAATGTGCCCCAAACAATCTGTTGCAATGTAAGGCTTTCTGACGATTATCTCTTAACACACACACACACACACACACACACACACACACACACACATGTATACATAACATTCATACTTCCCTAACTCACTTATGCCTGCCCTGCCTGATCTTCTCACTTAATTGCTATACAACGAAGACTCCTCGACACAGTACAGAAGAGGGCGTGCAAGACTATTCCCCCACCCCTCTCTTACACTACATATCAAGAGGCACTCACTACACCTCCCCCCCCTCAACATTCTAATCATCACCATGAATCCATGACCTTTTCTGTCAGTTTGGGACGAAGCACACACACACACACACACACACACCTGATTATCTCTCGTTCGCTAATTCCTGTTCGACACCACAACCGCATCCAGCCCATATGACCATGTACTGATCACTTGTAGAAAGTTTGTGTGTTTATTCCTTGCTAATCTCTCTGTTTTTGTACTGTAACCGCCCTGAAAGTCCTTGATAAATGACCCTACCCCCATGTCACTATGTTAACTATGTACCATTTGTTTTTTTGTATATTTTGCTGTTTTGTTGTGTTTTTCAGTAGTGTGTGTGTGTGTGTGTGTGTGTGTGTGTGTGTGTGTGTGTGTGTGTGTGTGTGCGTGCAGAAGTATAAACACAGAGCCAGACAGAAGCGGTCGTTAGGGAGGGGAGGTAACACAAAGGGGTACTCAGATGGGGGGTGTGGTAGCAATGTACAATTCCCATGAGTATCAAGACGATACCAGCATGTGCCCTCCCTCTCACCCCCCCCCTTCCTCTCTTCTCCATTCTCCCCCTCCTTCCATTCTCCCCTCTCCCCTGCCTCCCTCCACCCCTGCCTCCACCCGGATTCTCAAATTTTTTACGTGATTTTTTCGTTTTTTCGTAACTAGTACCAGAACACTATCTCGGTGCAGTGTAGTCTCATCGCAATAATGACGCCTTTTGGCCCTCCATCTTGCATGTTGTAGCGTAAGTGAGGCAGCTCAGACACCTTCTCTCATCATAAATTACAAGAAAAACATCAACTTGTTTCTCTTGAGAGTTTTAACACGCACGGAATTCGCAATGAAACACACACACACACACACACACACACACACACACACACACACACACACACACTCTTATTTATAACACAACCAATGGGTATGTAAGAAGCGTATTAAGAGTGTGTTCACGGTGTTTGTAAAGAACTAGTTGTCAGTGTTGATCTAAAGCAGTGTTACATTATCTCACACCACCCGGGAGTTTGATTCTCTGATTCTTAACCGATCCTGTGATTTTTTCCGGATTACCTGAGGATTATATACCCCTGCTTATTTCACCTGATAATTAAACAACCTAACGCTGTCCTAACCTAACCTAACCCCTCAGCCCAGGTTACGTTTGGGTATTTACTGTTGAAGTGAAATAAGCTGCAGTGTCTAAGTTTCAGGTCATCCTTATTTCTTCATAGTAAACGTAATGAATGATTGGTGGAAGTCTTCAATGTAACGTTCCAGCCACCAATTGCATGCCGTTGTTTGGGTGAGCTTCTGGAGGAATCCCAAGGAGTCTTGTTCGTAGTGCGTTTTCGGATTCCCGGATACATAGCTCAGTTTTTACCCTAAGTAGCATAAAAGGAAACGTATCCTGTTGGTAGATTTTCAGTTTAACTTCTACCTAACTTGGGCGAATTATATCCTGTTATTAACATGTATTAGTACGTGGTTTGACATTTCTCACTGCTGGAATGAACGAGGCACTTTACCTAGCCCAGTTATTATTCATTACCAGTATGAAATTGTACCGTCGAGTGGTTCAGTGGGCCTCATCCCAGCTTGATAACTCTTCTCCTCCCCCTCACATCCTGTCCTTCATAATGTCGACAGATTGATGTGTAAGTCCCCTTTTTTACTACCGTTAAACCCTCGACTGGAAAGGTGTTCTTAAAGCCGTTTCTCAATAGCTCAAAGGTTCATTTTAAATGCCTGAAAATAAGATGACTGATTTTCCACCCTCTGAGGATAAGAAGTATCGCCGGAAACATTAATATGACAACATAACATTACGTACACACACACACACACACACACACACACACACACACACACACACACACTGATCTCTCTGGTTACTCTTGCTGGTCCGATTCGATTCCCTCTTTCACTTGTCCATTTGTGCAGTTGTGAACAAAACTCCCTCGACATCTCTGGCTATATCTGTCATCTTAAGAATTTGCGTAGGTAAGTGGATTGATATTTTAACATTTACTTACATATGTATTTATTTATTTTTTAACGTTATTCCGAAATAGTTTATATGGAAAAGCGGATTCCATTACCTGTAAATCAATTACTACTCTGGTCCACAGCTATAGCTTACCGAACTGTCCAAGGTCGCTCGTTTATGACTCCAACCCCTCCCCTTCCCGCCCTTTTGTCTCTGAGCTCTTCTAAGATTGTGTTTTTTTATTATCCATACGTCTACAATGTCCTTATTTATTATCTACCTCTCCTCTGCACTTCCGTCTGCATTTCTCCTTCCTTTCCTGTATCACACTCCTCCTCCACCCACTCCTTTCATTCAACCATTCCTGTCTAATATATTATCTTCCTCTCCCTCTCTCTCTCACCTGTCTGTTCTTTCCTGTTTCATGTTCTGTTTTGCTTTCCTTCTCACCTTTCTATTCCATTCTCTCTTAAATCACCACCACCCCCCCTTCTTTTCCTCCCCTTGCCACCCCCGTCGCGTCTTTCCACTCCCTTCACCCCCTATCACCCCTCCCCCGTCACCTCTTCCCGCTCCCTTCACCTTTGATGGGCAGCCTCCCCACCTGGGCCGCTAAAGACTCCGCCCTGCCCACAAGTATCGCCCAATCCCTACTTATGTCTCGCAGGGGACCACCCGCCACCAGCCAATCACGCGTTGTCGTTTTAACTACCGTCCAGGGCAGTAAGGGCCTTGTTACAGTAGGTCCCTAATAAGCAATGGACCGTTTAACCGGGGGCTGTGCAGGCCAAAAAAGGTCAGTTGCTGTGTGGTGTGGAGGACGATGTACGCGCCCACCATTAGCATATTCATGAGCCACGCTGCAGTGTACATTGCGAGTTGGACGGACGGACGGACGCAGCCACCACACGACGACTCATACGACAAAATCACACCTGACCTTACCTAACCTAAGGTATCTTAACCTAACCTGAACTAACCTAACTTAGTTCATCAACCCTTAATAAAACTAAAGCTCCTGGTGGATTTTTTTTTACGTTTTTGTTATAGGATTGTGTCCAGTTGCATATTGTTTGGTGAGATATTCTGTGGTGGGATTTTTGTTCGTGCGTCCCAGACGGGATTTGACCTGTCTGCACCTCCGCCGCCGCCGCCGTCCTACACGGGTTGCAGATGACAGTCGACAAGCTTCTCTCTGCTCCCCACCCCTCTGCCCTGCCGTGTACATTGCACCAAACTGTAAGGCGAGTTAGAACTAGGGTGAAATTATTAGAAAAGGGAAGATCAAGTAGTAGTTAAGGCTGAAAGGGGAGCGAGAGATGAACAGACGGTGGTTTAGGGCGGTGTTGGGCAGTAACGCGGGAACAACGTGGAATAGTTTAACCTTTGTATCAGACTTTACTTGTCTGGTGAATGGTCCACTGACCTTTATAAACACGGTGCACGTAGCACCGTTTTGTTTCTCGTTTCGTGAACCAAAAATACCCATAAATATGCATAATAATAATCCCAATAAAAGGTAAACTGCCACTTGCTTTCCACTTCATATAAGTGCGTCATCATCATGATCATCATTCATGGCGGGGAAGCACGTAGTAATCTCCTACTCCGTCAAGTGGGGCAATAAATATAATTATGACGGGCGAGTCTACCATTGATATTCTCCCTTCGGTAGCCAGATCGGTGCCGGAATACCTGATCATAAGGCCTGAAATAGCCCAGGAAAGGTGCAGCTGGTAGGCGAAACAAACACAAGACGGGTAGGAGTTGGAGGAAAACAGACCTACTCCTCCTAACATCTGTTTATGCAAATAGGCGTTGAGAAGTAGCCTTATGTGCCTCCGATTTAAAGCCGTTCGGGTGTAGCTGGTGGGCACTTTCTGGCGTAGGATTTTTTTTGTTGGGGAATTTTTGTGAGAGTGAGGGAGGATGCACCCCCGCGTGGAGTATCCTGGGAGAGCCCGGTGAAGCAGCAGATGGCGGGATCATCGCGGGTCGCCGCCACCACCACAACACCCGAGTCTCACACCCTCAACCGCCTCACGCCTCTTTTTTCATTTCCGATCGTCTTTTGTTTACTCAATGGATCCGGACTATCTTATGTTTTTCAATTTCGTAATTATTTGCGGGAGGAGGTAATAGAAAGATAATATTGCTAAGTTTTTATTTAATTTTATTTGAGGCATAACAAAGCGAGGAAGGAGAAATTAAGGCAACTCGAGACGATAAAATTGACACTAGTACAACCCGCGACGTCTCGAGGCTGGACGGGTTGACCCTCCTTGTTAGCATCTGACTGCTGGTGTGTGTGTGTGTGTGTGTGTGTGTGTGTGTGTGTGTGTGTGTGTGTGTGTGTGTGTCCATATAAAATAATTTCATCTCAGGAATACGATATTGTTTCCCGCGGCAGACATATTTGTTCAACAATACAATGTACTGAGCAGAAGGGAAACAGGCAGTGAATCGAGATGGGCAAGTGAAATGAATGAGAAAGACGACAAACCCACATACAAATCTAGTGATACGATGACAAGAACAAAGATAAAACGAGAGAGATAAACGAGATGTGAGCTCTAGAGATAAAGCGAGAGAAAGAAAACGATCAAGATACACTGGTGGGAGATAAAACGAAGAGAGAGATATATACGAGAAAAAAATACTAACAGTGGCCAAGAAGTCCCCGCCTCATCAACAACTTGCTGGTAGCTGCACTTGTAAACATTTCCCAGAAAGCAAAAGACGAGGTTTTCCTGGGAGCATTACGGCACCATTTCCCCACGCCCCCGACTGACTCGGCATTATGTGGATGACGAATTATTATAATGTCATTGTTCACAAAGCTATTGCAAGAACACGCGCTCACAAAACTTTTCAAAATGCCACCACCTTCTCACAATGCTGCCACAGAAAGATAACACTCACGAAGCACTGGTCACCGCGCAGCTTGACCCTGACGTTTAGTTGACTTACACAGCAAGTTCTCACACACCTTCCATGATCAGGTGTCGGGAGGACGGTAATAATAACACCAATGACAAGAAGAAAAAGGGTTCTGGATTTTTTAAATTCTGTTCAGTTGAGAAGTCAATTGAAAACTATGTCGAAACATTGTCATTATCTCTATTTGTTTATAATTAAGGCTCGATTGGCTCTCAATATACTGTAGGTAGGTCATCTTTTAAATAAAATATGAGCTGTAGTGGGCAGGTGTAATCACTATTCACTTAATGAAAAAACGCGAAATTATTATTCTTTATGGAAATTATTGGAGTAGAAAAACGCTGCTTCATACTTAAATCGCCCAGACAACGCAGAACTTCTACATAGGAGGAGAGATTGTTTTTTATTTTCATTTCACCATTTACCAAGACAAGTACAGAAAATTGTCAGGGCAAACTTTTTTGGAGTGCAAGACTGCACGTTGCTTATTCTTGGAATAACCCGCCAGAATGTGAGATCATACAAAACCAGACTTAACCAACACTGGCGCAGGTTCAGATACACTCTGGAGCCAGACAGCCAGTACAGTACGTGTTCAGTACTTGCCAACAATGCGTAACAGACGTGAGTAACCGCCCTTGCCGTTATGCGGTCAGTCTGTTCTTTGACACTTTTTTCTGTCAACTTTCATCTTTCCCGTTTTCTGTCGGTTTTCCACTAGCTATCAAATTTTCTATAGCGTCTCGCTCAGACGAAACATATCGTTTCCACCTGATTGGTTTGTGCCAATTTCTGTTGTCAAGATCTATACTTGATAATGAGGATATTTATATAAAATATCGAGCCACGTAAAATAAAAAATTAAAGGTACCGGTATTCATTCAGCATCGCATTTTTAATAAATTATTAGATTAATTTTTTATTGATGTTGATATTCGCAAATACATCTGATATATTTGTTTACACTGAACAGTGTTCATGGCATCTGTATCTATTCCTCTGTGGACTCGCTGGTTCTCTATGCTGTGTGACGGCGCGCTCAGAAAAATCACAATCTTTAGACAATTTATGCAATAAAATAACAAAAAGTGCTATTGTGACGCCGTCTGTCCGTCATTAATGTGCAGTATTTATGTCTGTCATTAGGACCGTCCACTGGAAGTCTGCAGAAGGTTATTTAATTTTCTTTATATCATGATTATATTACAAATGTCAGCCAATCATCAACCATAGACTTTTGCTCTGGCGGTGAAAAAGGCTGACAATTTTGCTGGGCCGTATTTTGTTTTTGTTTTTTACAAACAAAGCAACTTTGAAATTGGTTGTTAGTTAAGTTAATATAATTAAGCTCGAAAGTTCTGAGGAGTGAGTGTACATCATATTCATAACCGTGACAAACTGTAAATGCATACATGATTAGTGAGAAGTGACTTGCAAATTCATGCAAACGGCAAGTGGAGGCCTTGGGCAGTTGCCCCGTGTGTCCCCTTTAAATCCGGCCCTGAGTGTTAGTACAGGAGAAAACCAGAGTACCCAGAGAAAACCCACAAAGTTCAATAGGGTTGCACTGGAGAACACCCAAATTCTCACATCTGTCTTGGGCTGGGGATGAACCCAGAATAAATGAGTGAAGGATATGCGCATTACTGCAGTATTACCAACACCAATTTGATAATAATGACCTTTTGTTTACTGTAATATACATTTGTGTTTTTGTTTATGTGACAAGTTCACATTCATATATATATATATATATATATATATATATATATATATATATATATATATATATATATATATATATATATATATACTGTATATATATATACAGGTGTGTGTGTGTGTGTGTACATTGCACTGTCAATATTTTACTGAAGCACATAATTAATTAACTTTTTCTAACAGGTCTCAGTGGAGGCATCTCTTGACCACCCTTTCTTCGTATTTCACTCTGGGTGGTCATCCTGCAGCCCTGAATTGACACAAAAGAAGTATGACCTCAAGGTGCGACAACTGCAGGTTGGTGATATCTGTGTCTCCCTCACCAAAAAAGCCCCTGATGCAGAACCAACCAATCCCATGCCGCCACCACCTACTTCCACCAGTCAAGTGCCATCACCAAGTGCTGAGTTGTCCAGTCATGCTTCTGCTTCTACTTCAGGGGTCTCTACACCACCCATTCAAAGTTCAACTAGTGTGAAGAAAGAAAGCACATCACTGCCATTCCTTGGAGGGTCTTCTTCTTCAAGTGTGTGGAGTAAACCAGCAGCACTGAGAACTACAGAGAGGCAACATTCCAGCGACGAGGCCCAGCGAGAGGAGAAGGACTCAGGCCGTAAGCGGCGCTGGTCTGACCCAGGTCAGGCAACGTGACAACAGCAAGTGCTGAACAGTATCTAAGAACTTTTCTCAAATATTTTTATAACCATTGTCCTCTTAGTTTGATAAGGCAGCAAACTTTGTTACTTTAATGATAATATAACCATAGTATTTGAATGCAACATAAACTGTGAGTTAATATATTTTCGGTATTGATAAAATATTGGTTAAGTGAACAGTTAATGATACAGAATTTCTAAATTCTTTTGAGTTGCATTTGCAGAACATACTACTACTGTTACTGTCGACAAAGAGTAGTAGTAGTGGTTCTTCCATGAGGCTAGGAGGCTCAAACCTCCAAATCTTTTCCAGGTCTTCTGTTGGCTGGACAACCTGGCCTCAGAAAATATTTTGCCATGCCTTTCTTGGCGCAGGATAAGTCACCTTTTTAGAAATTTCCCGAGCCAATCCTAAACAGTAGGGCATGGTTGTATAACAAATAGAAAACAATGTCATAAAGTTTGGTTGGTGTCAAAATGTTCAATTTACACTATTTTTTACATGTTTAATGTTTATGCAGCTTATGTTCTTTTTTTTTCTTTTCTATGCCTTTCCTCTTGTACAGTGCTCTGATTTCCACGTCTTTCAGAAATATTGTGATAGAAAAATACAACAAATGCTGAGGATAGCCATTAACAGCAGCACAGATGCAAATGAGTGATATAGAACTGGAAATATTTTTGTAGTAATTATTATTATATTATTTAACAAAGTAATCCAAATGTAATTGATACAGTGAACCCTGTTAAATTGGATATTTAGGGGAAAGTCGATCTGGATTTTGCACATTTTTTTAATTTCCAGGATATGAAATAAAACTATTTCTGGTCATTTTAAGTATACTATACAGTACTCTATACATTGATAACAGTTTATGAATATTACATTATTTTGTTGCATCCAAGTTCCATCATGCTTTACATGAAAAGCTACTTCATTAACTAGGATAATATAACCTAATGAAATTTTTAAATTTGTATGAGCTAACCTGTTTACACACTTCACAACTAAGGTGTAGAAAGTGAATTGGCAGCTACAATACTTTATTTTATCAGCAGTGCTTGTGTACTTGTGCTCCATTTGGACTATGCACCTCCAGTAATGCCACTTGCACATGACTTGCCATGGTAAAGACAAGGAATACTTTACTAAGCACACATAAGTAAACTAAGACAAAATGTGAGCAAAATCAGTCAGCAAAGAACTGGTTCAGGTGGGCAAGCAGTGTACCACGTGTACATGAGACATTCATGTAGTAAGCCAGTAGAGGGAATGATAAGTTTATCTAATCTTTCATATTCTGGCACTTTTCACTTTTGGGAGTTGAACCTGAGAAGATGATGTGACTAATTGGACCTTACTAATGTCACAATAGATTGTAATACAGCATACAATATTTTGTTATTACTAGTTTTTCCCAAAAGAGTACAAACAGGCCAGATTTATCCAAATTTCTGGTGAAGTAAAGTCCAGCTTAACATGGGTTTACTATACTGTACTGAATATACCAAGAGTGATAATAAAGAATACATAATATACTGTACAGTACTTTGAACTTTATTGTAAACTTATCTAACAGGCTTTCAGTGCTGGTATAGTATACTGTACTGTACTTACATGTACAGTATATGTTCTCAGATCATGAACTTAAATATGAGTTATATGTTAATAACATAGTGATAAACTTTCTTTCGCTAATAAAATTTGTTTCTACAGTGATAAATTTTTTTCATGAATAGAGTAACATATTGTAATTTAATAATTTTTTTTTAAATTTTCTGTATACTGTACAGTACTGAATTTTGGAATACAGTACAGTATCCATTTTCTTACTTTTGTCTAAATGTCTATATGTACCCATTAGATGTTTTCCAGGATCATATTTGTTACTGCTGTTGGTGTCTACCCTCTTGACAATTTGAGAGATGGTCTTTCCAAACACTAGTGATACAGTAGTTGAGTATAGTTGATGTTTTTTTTTCTCTAAACTTTGTGATAGTAGCCAGGATTCTTAGCTTCCTCATTTGGGATGGATGCCCCTCAAGTTTGGAGAAGGGATTTTCAAGTTATATATTAAAATTTATTCCATATTGATATAATCACAGGTATTTAAGTGTATTTAACCACAACATGGATATTGTAATTTGTATTGATTTCTCATAAAATAGTAGCTAGCAGAAGGAAACATTACATTTTGTGAGAAATAATAATACAGTATTCATTACATACTACAGGTATAATTTTCTAAGAGCATGTTAGTAAAAAGATAATAATTTTTGTTTTTAGTACGAGCTTGGGACAAATGCCCTCCAGCATGGGAAATATAAGAATCCTGCCATAATTAACCCGGTTTTATATACCATTGAACAAACCAGTGATACTTGCAGATTTACAGTGCTTTCCATTCATTGGCATTAATTATTTATACATCTATAAGCTTCTCTTCTCTTTAGTTTTCACTGAAACAATTAAGCCCATGTTCATAAAACACTTGCAGAGCCAAGTACAGTATTTCCTAAGGTGCCAACAGTGGATTCTGAACCCACACCAATTATCATCATCTGTAGTCAAATATAGAATTAAACATCAGACTTAGTATTGAAGCCACAACTTTAAGCAGTCATACAAGTGACATTAGTACCAGTATGTTGATAATGGTAATTCATTCACACTGTTTTTCCCATCATAATTGTATAAAAAGTGCAGTGTCTCATAAAACACTTTATTGGTCTGCTATTTTTGTGCTGCTCAAACATACTGGCTTAAAGATCACTTTATGTTAAACAAGATGTTAATATAAATTGTAAGTGAGCTTGTATTACTAAACCACATAAATGACACAGCTTTCTATAAAATTTTAATTTATGCCTGTCATTATGTGTTCTACCTCATAAGGTCTGGTTAAGGATGCAATAACATTTGTAGGAGGTAACATACTGTACTGTAGTAGCACTTGAATAGCTGATGATTTCTTAGACTTTTAGTAAAATATTATATATTTTTTGCTTTCTTTATATGTTTTCTCCCATTGTATGAGGCAAACATGTTGGATTCTGTGTATAAGCTCTCTTACCTGTTCTCGATTCTTAATTTCTCTGCACTTTTTTTTTTTTTTAGAAATTCTTTTAGAGATGTATGTAACAGTACCTCTTCATGCCTTTAAAGTGCCTCATACTTGCTTCATTTCCTGATCAGCAGAAACTTTGACCAACAACCATAGTGTTACTGTATTTTGTGAATCTTACAGTACAGGGTATTCTTTAACTGCTATTTCAGTCAAGTGAAGCATGGCAACCATCAGGTTTAATAACAATGATATGTGTTCTCTTTCAAGTGATTCTAGCTTAGTTATGAAACAAAAAGAAAAGACACACAGGTTAATGTACAGTAGCTATCCCTCAAAGGTACCACAGAATCCTCACCAATGTCTCGGTACTTTTTAATGAACAGGTATTTTCATATTACTTTTTCTGAATTCTTGTTAGAATGATATTTATTTCTATACTGTACCTGTATTTCTTGAGATTCTGTCAATAATTTGAATCTGAAGGACAGACTGTATTCATCCTTGTTAAATCACTGCAATCTTCTCTCAAATAACATGATTATTAATTCTTACACTGTCTTCTCAGAGATGGTATTGAGATAAGTTTTGGTCACTCAAAGAAGCACTAGTGCATGAAAAGTAAATAGCTTATCTTCTGTATCTCATTAACTGTTTTATCCTTTCTTTACTTTCATCTTTATTCTTTTTGCCACTTGTCATATTATTAAGCTGGTCTGACAGTTGGTTGTCATGTAAGAGAAGCACTAAGTACAGTCATAAGAGTGTGTGATTATTACAGCTACAGTATTATGCTTAAGGGCATAATTAAAGTAAGGAAGGAAAGGATATGGAATGGTACAAAAAACCATCTGTGTGGGAGACTGTGGGACTTAATCTCTTCCTTATTGCATGCTCCAACAACTCCATTTTAGGTGACTGTTGCACCTCTGCCAGCTCAGCCAGGAGAGTTTTACACATCTAACTTAAGAACATTTTTTTCATATTTAATTTTACTTTAAGCTTGTATAATATTTATAGTTCTCATTTAACCGTCAGTCTCTATATTTCTTCATTCTCAAAGATGTTAAGTCCACTTCCATAGGATACCATGTGAAACTAGCCAGGTTCTCATATAATTTGAGGATCATTATGTAAATTAAACAAGATGACAGGGTTCAATCTTAGGTCAAGTTTGTTCACACAACCATACTAGTATATTTAAATAATTTAGATCTTTTGTAATGTCATCAAATATACTGTATGTATGTGTGAAACATCTCTCTTAGATTCTCTTTATTTTCACACAATTTATAGAAAGCGTGTTAATGATTTCAAGTAAAATACACTCACTCACTGATAAACTAAGTGTTCCTGTAGCACCACTGGTCATACTCTACTGTTGAAGCAACACTGTCTAGCTTTAAATTTATTAAGGTTTTAAAGAGTACTGCAAAGCACTTGTATCTTATGAGGGTCAAAGTGCATAATATAATTACCAAAACAATATTTTATAACAGGCTCTTTTCATAATGTTTGAGGCTATTCTTTTTTAATTAATTTAAATCTTTTGTAATATCTCACTTTTTTTTATGTCTTGGGTACAGTTAGAGTACATACAATATATCCATCCCACCAGAGTGTGATTCATGTGCCACAATGGATCAGTCGGGGATCTTCTGCTACGACTGTAAACATAAATGTTAAGTTCCCGGGAACTGACATCCCACATTGTTTTTATTACAGTACTATAATTATTGATGTTAGTCTCAGCCATAGAGTCTAAAATTGATTTTACACTCATTTAGCTGAGAGAAATGTATGAAAAAGCCATTGAAAAAGAATTTTAAACAAAAAAATGAAGGTAAAACTTTTGCACTGTAATACATTATCATATGATATGATATGATCAAAGATATTGTTTATGAATTTTTGAAGTTAGTTTAATTTCTAGGACTCTTAGCAAATTGAGTGTGTAATCTACAACATGGCTTATACCGTGTGAGGCGGGGTGTGCCGTGTTTAGCAGCAAGTGTGGTAATGTTCCCATGTTGGAAGTACTAATACATTATTATTACTGATGCTTCAGCTTTAATTGGGAGATATTGCTTGGTGTTGTTATATTTTGTTGTTGAAAAAATTGTGTATGTGCTACTTATTCACATATTTACTATAAGAAATATTGTTTACTGTGTTGGTGTGTGTTACAAGTTGCAAAACAGTACTGTACAGGTATTTGAATACATAACACATTCTCAATTATGGTCTTGTACTGTATATAGTACAATACATGCTACAGAAATCTAGTTTTTGTTTGTAAAATTATTGCTGAACTGCAAATTGTGTATGTGATGTTATCATCATGTTAGTGTACAGCTAATTAGGATTACTGTAACTATTATATTTCAATGAATTTCACAGCTTCTCTCCTTTAAACTGGAGAGTTTTAAGAGCAATGAAATGAATTAAAGGATAATTATATTTTCTTTAATGATTTTTTAAGATATATATTTTTAATCTACACCTGAAAACATTACCACACATTGCATTAAGTAATTGTAAGTGATAATATTGTAGATGGCGTCACTGCAACAAGCTTGAGGGTAATGTCTCAAGTGTCACAGAAGGCCTCATCTTTTGAACAATAATTTGATGATTATTTGGGGCTTTACATCACACATACATATTTTTTCCACAAGTTGCTTTATTAGGCCTAAGTAAGTGAAGATGCAATATGCAACGTACTATTATTTACTTAATATGAATTCACTTAATAAGACAGCAGCTCGTAGCTTTAGCAGAAACAAAATCTAATTATTTGCAATCTGATAAGTTTCAGTGAAAAGTTTGTGTTACCTGAACAGTGAAGCAATTTTGCATCAAGTTATAGTTCAAATTTCTGGCCAAGTATATGTACACACCATAACCTCATTCTCTAAGATGGCATTTATACTTATCTCTTGTAGTCTCCTGTGTCTCGTCCTCTCATGTCAAGGACGTTAATAATAATTTTGTAGATACTGTAATTTGTTACAAATGTTGTTCATAGCACTAACTCCCCTATGAAACACGTGTGGTGCCATGTACCACAATAATCTGCAGTTTTTGGTCTACATGAGTGCAGTTCGACACCTTCCATTAATTTGTTGAGAAAGATACGATTTTTTAAAACAGTATTTGTAATGCAGTGATTGTCAAACCAGTTTCCAGCCTCGATATTAATTTAATATCTTGTCTCTGCCTCCGAGCAGCAGCAGCAGCTTTCAGGAGTGTGTAGAGCCTTAATACATTAGCAGGTTGTGCATGCATCACATACTATAGATAGTTGGTAGCACAGGAAATAATGCTCATCAAATAGATACTATACTCTCATAGTCAGCTCTGATATATCACCTAAAGATAAGATACAGTATATAAAACTTGAAGGAAATGAAGGTTATTAAAAAAAAAAGTTAGAGTAATCTCTTTTGGGAGAAGAGATATTATGGTATAATGTACTTATGTAACTCAGTCAAAAGTAAGTTGTGTAGAATATTGATAAACTGCTGTACAGAAACACATAGATGAATTTTATAAAAGTAATGGATGTTTAACGGTAGTAACTAGGGTCAGAGTAGCTATATACATGTAAGATAACAAAATGTAGTAACAATACTTCTGCCACACACAAGCAATACGTACAGTGTTTGAATACGTTGTAGATTTTAATAATATTTATAAGCAAGTATCCTTCAAGTGTTAAATCTCCAGTATGTAAACAAGATAATTCCAAATAAAAGTACAGTACTGTATCAGCATAGTTTTGTGACAATTCAAAATATTTCTGGATACAGTACAGTACAGTATATCATTTTCAAGATAATACACGTACTGTATCTAAAGGAAATTATTCTCAAGTTTAAATTATGGTAGCTTTTTTAAATAGTGAACTGTACAGTACTGTACATCCAATACTAACAGAAGAAGTTTGTGCAATAGTGAATGTTAAATTCAGTATTAATATAAATAAAAGAATTACACTTCTGTATAGATAAAAAATTACCGTTCATCAATAAATTTGTTATGTGAGAATTAGACTTCTAAACAATAAGCTTAGATTCAGTTGAAGAGAAACTGTTATCATAAGCCTAAGGGTTGGGAGGTGTTGGTGGCCAGTTTAGGGTTGTTGCAAAAGAAGTACTGTCCAGTACTGTACTGTTAACCTCAATAATTAGTTACTATCATAGTGATTAGCTCTAAGTTTGTTATTGGCTTACAAACAGGCCACTACTAAAGCATTTAGGTCATCATTTCAGTTTTTTACATTTAATACAATTGGCAGACAAACCAAATATATTTGGACAGAAATATTATAATTTCTTTGATATGAGTAACATTGAAAAGTACTTACTGGTACTGTAAGTGTACAAATGAAAATACTGTACAGCAAAATCTTGTTCCCAGACTTCATAATGTTGTGACCTTGTGATGTAAGAATGCACTGTACTAGAAAAATTTTATGTTTTTAATATGCCAACAGTACCTGTACCAAGAATTTGTGATGCACTAAAGCACAATACAGTATGCTAAATTATTACATGGTTGTTGTTAATGTTATTACATGTTTTGATGTATAATGAGTTTAAAGTATCTTGGGTTCAGTATCGGTCATAACCAGAACAAGAAGAGATACACATTAAATACCTCTTTCTATTATATCACTAACATCCCACCTAGTTTGAATGCAGGATCAGGGAACTGTTCTTAACGTGGTAATAAGGCAATCTTCACACCAAAAAAAGAAATTAATTAAAGAGTATGTACACAGTATTTGTATATGAAGAAAACTGGTCACATCAGTTTTGTTTCCTATACTTTCAAGGACTATGTAGTTTTAGTTTACTATATGATACTAATTATATTTCCTATTTTAAGGATTCACATTACAGCACAGTATTTATTATATAAATACATTAAGAAAGTGATAATTTTTAGTACAGTACTAAGTATTTATGTGAAAAGTTAGTACAGCTTAAGAATATTATAAATGTTCATAAGAGTAATTTGCAGTACTGATACAGCATTGTTGAGTTAAAACAAACCTGAAGAATGTATGTATGTATGTATGTATGTACTGTAATCAATATTAATAGGTTGTATATGGTTAGCATGCCAAATGAAAGTGAAATCTTATTGCATAAGTTAATCTATAGCTGTTGTTTAGTGTTTAGTACACCTTAAATGGCAAAATTCTTTGAAGAAATACAGTACATAACTGTATCTGAATATGAAATGTAAGTCCCCATGTTACTGTGTATTGAAAACTGACTTGAGTTTCTAGAAATATTATGTGATAACTGAAGCATATTTTATGTTCATTGTATAAACACAGTTGAAAATTAGTACAGTACTTTACAGTGAAGTGCAGACACATGTATGCTATAGTGAAAGTACACAAAATATGCGCTATGATGAGGTAGTCCTGTATGCATGTAGACCATTCAGTGCTTTAGAAAGATTCCTATTTTTGTGTACATTTGGGTGAAGATCTGCCAAAGGTAAGGATTTTAGATTATTTTAGATTTTCAATATTGTCAGAAGCTTCATGTACATACTATGTATGGTCAATAAATGTGTCTATACCCTGACGGTGTTTTTATTCACTCACACAAAAGAGATTAAAGATAATGAAATACTATACTTGAATATACTGTACTGTATGATGTTTCAGCTTCTGTTGTTCTCATTGCTATTATCGTCGCTGTTATTGACATTATCAAGTACTAACTTTTATGTGTATATATATTTTTTTTTTAGTGTTGATTCATTGGTATTCCTTATTAAAAACACATGGAATGAGACTACTGAAGGCTTGTAATAGTGGGAGTTAATGAACTCTTGGTGTACGACGCCAAGTTATTTCAGGAAATTAAGAACCAAGCGGACTGTGAAGAGCTGCAGAAGGATCTCTGTGAGCTTCAAGAATGGTCGAAGAAATGGTTGCTGAGAATCAATGTCACGAAGTGTAAGAGGATGCACCTGGGACATACCATCGGTAAGGAGGCGTATCATATGTCCCAAAGGGACAAAGAGACTGCAATCAATATTAATAGGTTCCTAGGCTTCATAATGTTGTGACCATGTGATGTAAGAATGTACTGTACTAGAAAAATTTTATGTTTTTAATATGCCAACAGTACCTTTTTCTTTTTTTTTCTTTTTATCCTCTTCACCACTGATCGGCTCCTTAGCCGCTTGGGCAATCGGTCACGTCTCTAATTATTTTTCCATTTCATTTATCCTCTTCACCAAAAGATCGGCTTGCTAGCCGCCCAGGCAATCGGTCACATCTCTGTCATGCACTGTTGGCAAGTACTGGGCATGCACCGGCTCCTGAATGTACCTGAACCTGCTCCAGTGTTGGTCAAGTCTTGTCTTGAAAGAGCTCACACTCGGTGCCGTCACAACACTTTCTGGTAGATTGTTCCAAGAGTTTACAATCCTCACTCCGAAAAAGTTTGCCCTCACAGTTTTCTGGACTTGCGGCTTCTTCAGTCTTGAGCTGTGACCCCTTGTGGGGCGAGCATCCGCCAGCTCCAAGTAAGGACACTCAACTGAGTAGTGCCCCCTGAGATGCTTATACACCTCAACTAGGTTACCCCTTGCCCGTCTGTAGTATAAGCTAGGCAAGTTCAGGCGATCCAATCTCTCAGGGTAGCTGAGGTGCCGAAGTGCATGCACCAGTCTGGTGGCCCTCCTTTGAACATTTTCAACCAACTGACAGTCCCTAGCATATCTCGGGGACCAGACTGGGTGACAGTACTCCAGATGGGGAAGCACTTCACTCTTGAAGATCATTACGAGGGACGGACTGTCTAGATATCTGAACGACCTTCTTATAAGACCCAATAATTTATTTGCCTGGTTTACCTTCTTCTCGCAATGGCCCGAGAACTTCAGCTCATTGTCAACATACACACCTAGGTTCTTCTCACATTGAGTCTCAACTAGTGCAGTTTCTTCATCCCATTGGGACATATGATACGCCTCCTTACCGTTGGTATGCCCCAGGTGCATCCTCTTACAGTTCGTAACATTGAATCTTAGCAGCCATTCCTGGAGCCCACAGAGGTCCTTCTGCAGCTCTTCACAGTCCGCTTGGTTCTTAATTTCCCGAAATAACTTGGCATCATCGGCAAACATTTGTATGGAGGAGTGTACAACGTCAGGTATGTCATTTATGAAACAAACAAACAACAGCAGGCCCAATACACTGCCCTGTGGTACCCCACTTGTGACAGGTACGGATGACGATTTTGTGCCATTAATCACCACACTGCTTGCAGTCATGTAGAAAGTCTTCTATCCATGCTAAGACATTTCCCCGAATTCCGTACCCTTCCAGTTTGATTTTCGGCCTTTCATGGGGTACACTGTCGAAAGCCTTGGCAAAATCTAGGTAAATATTGTCGATATTACCACCCCGTTCCAGAATATGGGTCCAAATATCCAATACCTTGAGCAATTGTGTTAAGCAGGAGCGCCCCGGCATAAATCCATGTTGGCAATCCTTTACAAGGTTGTTTTGTATTAGATGTTCCATTGCGGCATCTCTAATAATACTCTCAAGTACTTTACATATTATGCTGGTCAGGCTCACCCGTCTATAGTTGTTCTTGGAGTGACGATAGCCCTTCTTGAAGATAGGACTCACATAAGCCACTTTCCATTCACTGGGGACCATTTGTTCATCCAGGCATTTACAAAACAGAATCTTCAGGGGCTCGGCAAGCTCGTTGCACAACTCTCTTAGCACTCGAGGATGCACCATGTCAGGGCTGGGACTCTTATGGACCTTTAGCCTGGACAGTTTATTTCTAATACCCTCATCTGTGAACACAATGTGGGTCAGTGCTGTGTCGAACTGTCTGTCCTCAAACGCAGGAAGGTTAATTGCATCCTCTCTTGTGAACACAGAGGAAAAGAAGCTGTTCAATGCCTCAGCTTTATTCTGGTCAGAATCTGCATAACTACCATCCTCAAGCCTCAGGTCTGATACTCCTACTCGTGTTTTCAATTTCGACTTTGCATAGCGGTAAAATGTCTTTGGGTTTGACTTGACCTCGCTTGCAACCAGCCTCTGGGACTCCTTTTCACCCCTTCTGCACTCTATTTTTGCTTGGTTTCTGGCTCTTGCATGCATCCTCCTGTCTTGCTCATCGTTTGACCCAACCCACGTCTTGAATTTCTGGGTTTTCTTCTTAATTCTGTCGACCGCTGCATGGTTCATATGTAGGGATCCCCTAGTATTCCTAGAAGCACTGGGTTTGGTCTTGGGTATACAGTATATTTATCGATCAAATGGGTCACTTTACTAGTTATGATATTCAGCGTAGTGTCTGCGATCTTGTACCTTAATGAGTCAGGCCAGTTGATACCTCTTATCTCTCCCTCATCCCATTGTAACTTCCACGTGTAATATTTGCACCTTGGCCTGGCCTTATCCTGAACTAGGTAACAGTTAAATCTGAATGACAACACTATATGGTGACTGGTGCCAACTGGGGCAAGGTGGTCCAGTTTGGCCACCATACCCTCCTCGTTTGTTATGATGAGGTCAAGTGGCTTGGGTGTGTGCTCCCCTCTGTAATGTGTCAGGTCTCTAACGTGTTGGAACAGAAAATTATCTCTCAGAGTTTCTACAAAAAGAGTAGCAGGGTTATTCAAGTCATTTGGGGTGGACTCGTTTCTCCAGTCGATGTCGCCATAGTTAAAGTCCCCCATGATAAGGAAGTGGCTAGGGTTGAGCATTGCCGCGTTGTCTATTAAGGCTCTTGAGTTCCTTTGATTTAGTGGGCCACAGTTTGGGGATCTGTAGATACACCCGACGATAAGTAAGTCCCCTCCCTTTAATTTAATTTTACACCACTTGGACTCTTCAAAAACATCCTCTCCCTGTACCCTCGCCTGGCTGGCTCCAAGGTCTTGCATAGCATTGATAACCACACCCCTCTTGCAAGTTTCTTGAGAAAGGTTCATAAATGAGTCATTTCCAGCAATACTGAACTCACATTCCTCTGGGTCGATTCTCCTGTTCTTGTACAACAGTTCTACAACTCGTACAATATCTGGTTGGTGTACTCTCGGTAGTGTTTCAAACTCCTCTCTCTTATCAAGAAACGTGTCAGTATTAGTGTACATGACATTCAAGCCAGAATTTGTTCTCGGTAACGTCTCTGCTCTTAGTAATAAACCCGCTCCTCCCACATTCTCAGAAGCTGCAGCATTTGCTAAGTACACTGTATTTTGCAGGGTGTGGTTAGAAATGTCATTGTTTACACGGCGCTCGTTCCCTCCTGTCCGGATAGGCTGAGCTGGTGCCGCCTCCCGGGTGGGGGGTTGAGTGGGTGGAGGGTGCACTGCTGCCCCCTGGCCCTGTGTCGGCACACTTGTTTCCACTACCCTCCCCCTGAGTATAACCCATGTACACCGTCCCCGTTCCTCCTCGACTCCTCCCTCTTCTGCTTCAAGTCCTGCAGGAGCTTCTTGTGCTGTTCCCTCTGCATTACCGTGCGATCTGGGTGAATGAATACATCCCGAAATGCCTCGCTCCTTGCTAAGTTTTTTGCCTGCCGAATAACCTGCCATTTCTCCTCCTCACTCACTAGTGTGATCCTGAGGGGGCGAGGCTTAGCCCCCTGCTTTTGTCCCAGCCTCCTCACATCCTGAGGGGTTGATGGAATCTTCAGAACCTCTGTACAAATATTTTGAAACAGCACCTTATCGTGTGTTACCTTACTCACAGTTCCCTCCGCCTGGCTCTCAGGGACTCCAAAAACTATTACATTGTTCCTGCGCTGGAGACGTTCCTGGTGTTCCTCCTCTCCCCTAACAGTAGGTCCGTTAATTTTCATTTCTTCGACACACTTCTTCAGAGTCCCAAGCTGCTGTAGAACCTGTTCTGATCCTGCATTACTCTCCGCCCCCTCCCGTGGCCCTGCTAATACGTCAGCATAACTCCTCTTAGCAACCACCTCCATTCTATCGGCTACTTCCTCAGTCTTAGCAAGGATCTCTTTCCCAACTTGCTCCAGTTTGGCAACCAGCAGGGCTCCAGCTTCATCTATTTTCGTCCCTAGAGAACTCGTTCCCTTATGGCTTGCAATCGCTTCATTCACCTTGACTATGCAGCCAGGGCAATACCAGCAACAGCCATCATGCTTTACGGCAGTTAGTAACTTCCTAAACGTTGCATTAGTCAGGCCTATATCCTCCATATCCGACGTCTCCCTGCGGTAATCACATATCATACTCATGGTTGTTGTTGTTGTGGGAGGGGTGGGGGGAGTGCAGACTGTGTATAGATCTACACCTATTTAAAAAAAAAGTAAAGAGAGAAAACAAGAATTTGTGATGCACCAAAGCACAATATGCTAAATTATTACATGGTTGTTGTTAATGTTATTACTTGTTTTGATGTATAATGAGTTTAAAGTATCTTGGGTTCAGTATCTTACTTTACTTTTACCTTTATCCTCTTCACCACTTATCGGCTCGTTAACCGCTTGGGCGATCGGTCACGTCTCTGTTACGCACTTTTGGCAAGTAATGGGCATGCACCGGCCTCTGAATGTACCTGAAACTGCTC